GTTACTTTTAAAACAATTTCCTTCGACAAAACCTAGTATCATTACCACTAGGGTTTAGTCTAATATTTACCGAGACTAATTAATAGTCTAGCCATTATTACTATTATATAAGCGTTAATCAACACTCTTATATAACTCATAATAATAGCCCAAATAATTATTTTAAGGTCCTAATAATGTTACTATAATTAATTAGAAGTTATATTAAAATTTTCATAGGCGTAGCTCACTTACAGCGGGTTTTAAAGAAAACTGGGCTTCGCTTGGAGCAGCGTTTCTAAACCGAAAGACCCTTTTTTTTCGGGACTCCGGGAGCCTCGGGGCTTCCTTCAGGTGCTAGGGGGTTCACCTAGGCTTTAGGGGGGGGGGGTTAGGATAGTCTAGAGAGAGAAAGAAGTTAGAGAGAGAAGGAGATTTTGTGTGAAAAACTCGGAAGACTTCGCAGCCTTTTATAGGCTCCCAGCTTCGGACGAATGCTGGGCGTTCAGCACAACTACGCTGGGCGTAGTTCGGATAAGAGCTCCATGTGGCGACGTCTCGGTGGTGCAACGTGGCTTAAGCTGAACCGAGGAGTGGCTGGCAAACGCGGTGCGCACGAAAGTTTGGACGCAGGGCGTAGCGAGGGGTGACGTGTCTGAATCCGAAGTGTGTTCCTGATCATCAACGGACGGCTGTGGCCCTGCCACGTCATCACTATTCGCATCAGATTTCGCACATTGCACCCTCAACTTCTAAAATTCGTATCTTTCGCATACGAGCTCCGTTTTCGACGTTGTTTATATCCACGCGTAGGCGGGAACGTACTCTACAACTTTCGTTTAGACTCCGTCGGCTAATTTTGACTTTATTTTAAAAGTTATATTATTAACAGGCCGGGACAAGATTGGTCCGTTAAAATCTCATAACTTCTTCATCCGACGTCCGTTTTCGTCTGTCTTTTTATCGTTAAGCTACTAATAACGAGATCTTCGATTCTTGTTTAGGTTGTGTCGGGCTAAAAATCGTTCGATCTAATATTCGAACTTCGGGTTGTACACTGCTAAGCCGAAACTTCGAAAAATCATAACTTCTTCATACGAAGTCAGATTTGGGCGTTCTTTTTATGGACGCTCTCGGTTTAACGTTTTCTACGACTTTCTTTTAGATCGCTAAGGCTAAAAGTCGCTCTATCGTAAATTCACTATTTACGCTTCCCGGTGTCGCGCCGGTTCCGTCGCGAAACTTCGACGGGTCATAACTTCTTCGTTATAACTCGGATTTCGGCGTTCTTTATATCCTCGTAATCCTTGTTTCGACCATTACAACTTTATGTAGAGATATCGTGTTTATCTCACACTTTAATTTTGACGCTTATTTTTATTCTTTATTTATTACATATTTATAATTAAGTAATAAACATATGAATTCACATAATACTCAAATATTTCATCTTTATTACTTCAAAAAGAGTTATAATAGTTGACCTAGACTATTACATCATCTAAAATGCTTAGCCTTGAAACCCGAGCATTACATAATGTCCGTTAAAAATTCATAATTTTGTCATCTGACGTCCGTTTTCAACTGTCTTTATATTGTTGAACTCCTGTTAACGAGATCTTCAATTCTCGTTCAGATCGTTTTGGCTAAAAATCACCGATCTAAAATTCGATCTCTGAGCTGTATATTGTTACGCTGAATCTTAGAAAAATCATAACGTCCTCTAATGAAGTCAAATTTAGACGTTTCTTATATGCACGCTCTCGGTTTAACGACTAATGCGACTTTCGTTTAGACCACTTATGCTAAAAAGTAATTTATCAAAAATTCACTTTTTACGATACACAGTGGCGTGCCGGTTTAATCGCGAAACTTCGAAGAAACATAACTTCTTCATTCGAAATCGGATTTTAGCGTTCTTTATATGTACGAAATCCTTTTCATATATACTATAAATTTTGTTAAGATTATTTGTCCTAAATAATCTTCTATCAAAAAATTATTTTTAACGTTTATTACATCTAATTTGACTAGCCCGAATTTGCAGACGTTACATTAAATTATCATTCTATGATTTTGTTTCTTTTAATACATCTACATTCGATATTATTTATAGAGACTCAATAAAATCTTTGGTTTTGAGTTCCAGAGAACATCGATCTTATATTTTACATGATGATTACTCCAATTTCTTATAGATATTTCCTCTCGGCCATAACTAACAAGTGCTCTCCATATTTTTAACCTTCAATAAATTTATCCAAAGTCATTTTCTAAGCTTGTTTATTTGGTCCACTATTAACTTCAGGATCAATAGTTCTCCACTTGATCTACCACATAACTTTCTTTCAAAAATGCATCCCCTACTGTCTTGTCGAATGATACAACTTCTTCATTATTCTATTGATCACATGAAAGATGACCCTTTGAAATGAGTTTTTAAAAAGTCGCGACTTTGTAAAAATGTTTATAACTTTTTCACCTAAAATAACTATAAAATTACTATATAACATATCAAACGCTTTTTTAAATATAGTTTATGAACTTATAGATCATTGTCGACACATAAGTTAATCCAAACACTTTATTATAAACTATTTTTTTAACAACATGAGCTAATAAAAAAATTCTATCAAAAAGTGCTTATTGATTTAGATAAGCAATCTCAAACACCCTAAATCATTTTCCAGCCTAGTTATAATTGTTATATCGAGCTAAAAAATTATTTATGAATAATTTGACTCAAAAGTTTTAGAAGCCCCACTTGCTTTTCCCGCTCCGTTTTGTCTCCTCGTCTTCTCTCTCTAGGTTTAGTGCTCCAACATAAATATTCATTTTCAATATCACTCCTCCCCTATCTATCTCTCTAAATCCAAAGACGAGAAAATGTAACTCTATATATGAAAATAGTAACTCCGGCCTCTAATCTAATGAATATCAGCTTATCTTGAATGTTGGGGTCCTTTTTCATTTTTGTCAACAATTCACGTTTGGATAAATTAGCTTATAGCTTATTAGTTTATAACGGTGAGAGAAAACAACTTTTATAAAAGTGTTTGGATTAGAAATAAGCAATAAGTTATAAGCAAGTGAAAATTAGCTTATTTAACTTATTCTCACCACAATAAGCTGATTTTTAGTGTTTACTATCCAAACACTTAAACTTAGCTTATAACGATAGGGATAAGCAATAAGCACCCTCTTTTTTCCCTATCCAAACACCCTCTAAGTGCAAGTTCAAATTTCAATTATGAGATATGCATTGTATTAGTCTCAAGCATTGTAGGTGTACTATTGCGCAAATGTACTATATCTATGGATCTATGTGATTCTATCTTATCAAGATGCATCAATTATTTGTGCAACGCATACCGATGAATTTCAGTCTTACGTTGATAAAGAACTCATGTTTGTTGTTTTTATTCTTTATTTGTGTGTCACAATTGATGTAAAGAACTCATGTTTGTTGTTTTTCAATCTTTATTTGTGTGTCGGCATTGATGTAAAAAACTCATGTTTGTTGTTTTTTCTCATGTTATAGTTTTGTTATGTTTTGATTAAGTACAACACTCCACGCGTTCAACGAAATGTCCAAAAGAATCTTCAATTTTTTTGAAAGGGCAACCTAGGTAACTATGTGACTTTTGAATGGGTTAAAACGTAGGCAAAAAAATCCCCAACGTATTGTTTTCTAATCTTATGCTATCAACTATTTTTGAAAGGGGAAATAGTATAGATGGATAGAATGAGACATACAATGAAGATATCAAAGGTTCAATAGAGTGTCAGATTCCTAACCGTGTGTCATCAACTATCTCCTTTTCATTTAAAGGCACTTTTGTCATTGTTTCTGATTCAACGACCGCCAAAATCTCTTTAAATAAAGCCTTTCTTTTACTTCTTACTTGGAGCATTACCATCGATATAAAGGGAACAAATATGAGTGTTTTTGTTGTATAAATATTATAAAGTATCATATTGAATCAGGATAAAGATAAGATTTTGAAATGATTTTTATATCAATTACTAATTAACATTAGACATGGTAAATGTGTTGTATCATATCAGGTTCGTGCCGTATCAAAACAACAAACAGGTTGAGAGAGATCAGTCCTAACCCGACCCGTTTAATTATCGTGCCGTGTCAATCCGTTTATTTTTGTATCGGGTTTTAGGTTAATGTTAAACCTTGAAATGTGTCGGTGTCATACGAGGTTGAAACACTAAATATGTTGAAAATGAATTGGGTATGTGGAAAAGAAAATATAAAAAATTGGAAAAAAAAATAGAAGTTAGTAGGCGGAATTACTAAATTCATAGTAAGTTTTAGAAAGAAAAACGGAAAGAGTAAGAATAGGAAAGACAGAAGGGCAGGATGAGGGAGTGGTTGAAAAGATTTTGTAGTTTAAAAGATTATTATATAGTTGATGATTATTAACATATATAGCTTTGAATTAATACTTTTAAGCATGTTAACCATGATTATAAACACATTATCTAATAAACTAAGTGAAATACTTTACTAACGTACTAAGAAAAATAATGACCTAAGTGGGACGAATTACAAAATACATTATCATTTATGAGTTATTTCATTTTCCAACAAATTTTCACATTATGTTTTCCCTAAAAAACGAAAAAAATGTTTTTTAAATTTGATATACATCAAACTTAACACCAAACAATACGTCATCACCGAAAAACACTAAACCTCTTCCACTTCCAAACACAAATATCTTCCTACATTAATTTATGACCACTAAATTATAACCAAAATCTCTAATCCAACACACACACTCACCTATATAATAGCATCATCCTCCTTCCATGAAACTTGACTTTACCAATTGGTCTCTCTAAGAAACACTTCTCTCTCCAAAAAAAACTCTTCGTTCCTTTTCTTCTCTATTAGTTTTTTCATGCAACCACAAAAATACAACAAAACAACACTTTTCTCTCCAAAAACAACTCTTCTCTAGTTTTTTCCTTTTCATGCAACCACAAAAAATACAAGAAAACAAATGGCTGCATGTGAAAGCCCTCAACCCATCTTTGATACCTTCAATGATACACACGAATTCAACGATCAATGGGCACAAAAACACGAGTGTACACAAGGTTTCGGTGTTATGATAAATCATTCAAAATCAAGAATTCCAGGTGATTTGAAAAGATCGAGGATTAGGAGGGAAATCCCACCACCAATTTCTTCAATTGGAAGACATGTGTGTTTTGAATCTTATCGGTTTAATGGTAGACTTATTCTGAGAGAGGTAAGGATCCAAAATCAAGAACTTTTGCATGCGTATAGAGAAGACGGGCGATTGAAATTGCAATTTGTTCAGTACGATGATGACGTGGAGGTCGAGAGGGAAAACGGACAAAATGTCGGTTACGAGGTTGAAGTCGATGATGTTATAGGGAAAAGTGAGATTAGGGAAGAACCATTGTGATTAGCATGCTTATTATTTAGCATGCAATTTGTAAAGTCCAAAGTATTTCTCTTGCAAATAAAAGTGTCCTTTGATGTGAATGATACAATTTATATGCATACATATTAAAAAAAATCATTATATTCTTGACAATTTTACGGTTTAACCACTTAAATTTTATTTTTTTCAATCAAACCATAAAAAGTGTCATAGTTTTTTTTTTTTTCTCAAAATGGTTAACTTGGGAACCTAAGAGTGAAACCTTATCTGACAAAAATTACAGACGAAATGTAAAATGGTTAATTTAAAAAATAAAACATGTCCAAAATATAATGGTTTTTTTTTAAAACGTCCATATATAGGATTGCATAATCTTTATATAGATTATAATATTGATTTATCTAGTGTAGCAACTTTCACCAAAAAGTTTGTTACATGTAATAAATTTAGGCACAAGTACATGACAATGTGTAGCACTTTACAGCATTCCACCCGTGATGTTGAAAAGACCCCAAAAAAAAAAGTAGTATGTGTTTTTTTATTTTACTTAAACTTCAAACGCTTAAAATATTATTACAAAATTAGTCCATTTCATGACGAAATATTGTTATTAAAACATTTTAATAATTATGATGAAGGATTGCTTCCATCTAATGTCAAAAGTACTTTGTATAAATCGGGGCGTCGATCACGGAATATTCCCCAACTATGTCTTTTGGATTTAATTTGATCAAGATCAAACTCTGCTACAAGAATTGCTTCCTCTTTATCATTAGCAACTGTGATAATTTTTCCGGTAGGTCCTATTTTTGTTAGGAAGTTAAAAATCAGGGTGTAAAGTGAACATACATTCAAAGTTGGAGGTAAAAAACCGACATTTATAATTACCTGCTATAAAGGAGTTCCCATAGAATGTAATTGAACTTTTACCATGTTCTGTTTGAATCACCTCCTTGCCTATGCGATTTGAGGCTATCAGGGGTACCTGAAAGCATAAATTTTTATATTTTATTTTAAATTTATAAAAAATTAACAAAATTATAATTTATATTTTTATAATTAACTAACCAAATTAGCTCCAGCATGCCCTTGCATTACGCGTTTCCAATGGTCACGTGAATCAAGACCTTCATCTTGAGGCTCAGAGCCAATAGCAGTGGGGTAAAATAGTAATTCTGCACCTTGAAGAACCATGGCTCTAGCAGCTTCCGGAAACCATTGATCCCAACATATTGCTGAAAAGAATTGTATTTTGTTTTTAAAATATAAAAGTAAAAAGCTGCAACTTTTTTTTTATAAAAGTGGCTGAACTGGTAATGATGTCTGTCTGGATAAAGTGACTTGTTTCTTTTCTAGACTGAATACAGCGTCTTAACAAGACTAAAATGACTATCTTACCCTTACATTCTAACAAAAACTTTTCACAACATTCATCACTTTAATGTGTTGGAAGGAAAAAAGAAAAGGTTAATTTGGTCCATATTAAATCAAAAGGATTGAGAAATTCATACCCACGCCTATCTTAGCAAACTTGGTTTGGAACACCTGTATAATAAAATATAACTTATCAAAAGACTAAATGACTATTTTACCCTTACATTGAAAAGTCAAAGTGGGGATTTAATATAAAACATGGGTATATAATTGTATAAAAAAAAACTGACCTTGAAGCCAGTGTCACCTGGATTGAAGTAGAATTTCTCCTGGTATCCTGAGAAAAACAAGAAACTATTTATTTTAATTAAACTTACATAAAATATAAGAGATTTTTGCTAATTTAATAAATGATAGGAATATATTAAACCTGGTCCATCTGGGATGTGGGATTTTCTATATATTCCAAGATCAGTTCCATCAGCATCAATTATGGCTATTGAGTTGTAATGTGCATTATTTGCTTCCTCAAAGAAGCTCACAGGTATAACAACTCCTAATTCCTTTGCAAGTTTCTGCATCCTGAAAATTATATGTTTGATCTTAACTAAAAAGAAAATGGTATCATGTAATCAAGTTATGTACAAATTCAAATTATGATAATATGTTGGGATGTGGGGATGTGTGAACCTCAAAATGGTTGGATGATCTTTGTAAGGTTTTGCTCTCTGAAAGAAATCTTCCTTTTGTGTTTGACAAAAGTAATAGCCCTCAAATAGTTCCTTTAACAAAATCAACCATGAATATAGTTGTTAGAATAAGCTGATAAAGAGGTAAAGGTGAAACAAAATGTTTAATTCTTTAAGAATCTTATTAAATTCAAAAAGCAGACCTGAATAAGGATGATATTAGCACCCTTCTCATGAGCAGATCTCACAAGCCTGTAATGCAAAACATTCTTTGAGAACATGAACTACTTTTTATGACAAATTCGTAAGCCTGTGAATTTGCTAAAAGTAGCACAACAGGTGAAAATGAAAATTGGAAACATGAATCCCATTGATTGAACCAGAATCATAGCAATATTCGTTTTAATGTTAGATCAAATGCACTTCAATCACAACTCCAAACCTAGTCCTAATTGCTCAAATCCTAAACTACTGTCCCGATACGTAAGGGGAATTACTGACACTTCTACTCTTGTTAACACTCAAATTCAAGCTTCTACGACTTATGTTTTGCAAAGCTAAGTCCATATCAATAGTATTTTTGCAATTTCATACACAATAAGGTTTAAATCGAGATATAAAAGCTAGAAATCGTTAAAAAAAAAAAAAAAAAAAAAAAAAAAAAAAAAAAACCCTAAATTTCATGTAGTAAATGGAGCAGAGTGAGTAAAAGAAGTAAACCGTTCGGCGGTGTCGACGTTAGAGGCGACATCGTCGGAACAAGCAAACTGGAGAGCTGAAACCACTACTTCCTTCCTCCGCGCCATTCTCGAAATTCAATCCTTTGCTCGACGGAGATGGAATCTGAAATTGCTTCTTTTGGCTGCTTTTATGCGATATTCTTGCGTAGTTGCGTTATTCCTTTTTTAGTGATAAAAGATTGTAGAGTGTTTGTCAAACGGGATTTGTCTAAGCTAGTTTTAGGTTGGGTTAAGGTCATGTACTCGATTAATACTAAACTTTTGAAATTGTCCCTTGTTTTTATATGATTTAACTTTTTATAAGTTTTAAAACTTGTTAACTTTGGTCAAAATAGCAACAACGGATTTCATATTATTTAAGCTATCTAAAGTATTGAACTTTTATTTATTTATTTTTTTGCTATCCACGATTTGTTATATGTTTTTATATGTTTTTTCGTAACTGGTTTTTACAACTTCGTATTTTTATTTCTTTTTATTTCATTTTTATTTATACTTGTAGATACTTGTTTTTATATTCTTTTATTTCGTTTTAATATGTTTTTTCATAATTCATTTTCACAACTTTATATTTTTACTTATATGGTTATTCACTATCGATCTAGGCTTGCACAAAAAAACCGGTTCAGGATCCGAACCGGTCACTGAACCGGTAAACCGGTTCACTACGAACCGGTCCACTATGAACCGAACCGATTCAAGAACCGAACCGCCGGTTCGCACCCGTTCGAGATTTTAGATATTGAAACCGGTTTAGAACCGGTTTAATAACCGTGAACCGGTTTGGAACCGGTAGTCAAACCGATCGAACCGGTTTAGAACCGGTAGTCAAACCGATCGAACCGGTTTAGAACCGATTGAACCGGTTTAGAACCGGTGTAACCGGTTTAGACAGGTTCGAGATTTTCTATGACGGAATCGGTTTGAACCGAACCGGTTTATGGTTGAACCGGTTTTACTATTCACAAATCTGAACCGAACCGGTTTACTGAACCGGTTCGGTTTGAAAAAAAACCGGTTTGTTCACCCCTATATCGATCTATATAAACTTCATTTTTTATTTGGTTACTACTTTGTTTTATACTATTGGTTTTTACAACTTAACTTGTTTCTTTGGTTTTACATGTTTTTTTTACAATCTATTTATATAATTTTATTTTTTTATTTCGTTTTTACATGTTTTTTTTACAATTTGTTTTTATAGCTTTATTATATTTACTTGTAAAAGTGAAGTTGTAAAATAGACTGTGAAAAAAATTGTAAAAATATTTAAGTAAAAGAATGAACTTGTAAAAACAAATTGTGAAAGAAAAAACATGTAAATATATGAAGTTGTAAAATCATATTGTAAGAAACTATAAAAATGAACGAAAAAATAAAGTAAAACGGGATTTTAAAAAACAAAGCAAAAAATTAAAGTTGTAAAAATAGATTGTGAAAAAAAAAACATGTTAAATGCATAAAAGTAAAGTTGTAAAAGCAAATTGTTGAAAAACATATAAAAATGAAGAAAAAAATGAACTGTGAAAAAATATATAAAAACAAAGTAAAAAATGAAATTATAAAAAAGTTTATGAAAAAATACATATACAAACAAACGTATGCAATTTCAAAAACTTAATGACTAGTTATACCAAAAAAAAAAAGTTAAATGGTTTTAGATAGCAAAAAAAAGATAGAAAAAAGAACATGAAAATTTGTTGTTGTAGGTAATAATGATCACTTTAGCAAAAATTAACAATTTTAATGATTTTTTAAAGCTTAAAAAAAATTAAGTGACCAAATAAACACACTTTCAAAAGTTTAGTGACTAAGATCGACTCGTAGATCAAAAGATCTTACCAGAACGAACTAGTCTTCAAATTTATTTGCATGATCTTGTTTGTGTAATATTCGATATAACTTGATATTGATTAACACATTGATGTTGAATTAACTTTAACTTTTTATACATGAACCATAACTTATTGTTGTTGTCAGGACCGATCCAAGCCGATTTGAAGACTCGGGCAAAAAAAATGATGCCCTTATCCATATTTTTTAAGTAAAAAAAATAATTAATTGCTTAGATTCTTGAAGAATCGATTGGAATTATTTTCGTCTTCTACACCAATTTTGGCTCCAATCTCGTTTTTTTCTTTTTTTCCCGCTGTTTGCGACGAGTTAATACCAAACATTTTTTTTCTAATAATAATATAAGTAGATACATAAAAAATGAGCCCTGAAAAATTAAAGGCCTTAGGCCTTCGCCCATGTTACATGACCTACTATATGACCCTGATTGTTAGAAACTGCAAAAACTATAAATAAAACATCATTATCGGAAAAGGAAACAAGATCAGTATGACCATGCACAACAACATACATAATATCACAAAGGAAAAATATGAGTGTCATAATATTATACCTAGTTTGAAATGAAGGGTGAAGTGGTCTGATTATGAGACTTCTTACGACTTTGAAATGCTCGATTTGATGTTCAATGAACAAAGTTTGAAGGCACCACTATAATAATGACAAAAGATGTGAGATCAGATCGAATTAAGATCTTAAGATCTGAATTTAGATATTGCTTCGTATAGATCCTATTGGTATGTTTTTTGCTTGTAAGAACTTAATTGGAAAGGCGGCCCTCCCTAAGCGGGTGGAGATTCAAGTTTCGTGATGGCCAAAAGGTATAGAATTAAGAATATGATTAGTGGGTTTATGTGTTTGTCGTTCAAAAAAAAATCGGCATCTTAATAACCATGATTTATAGAACGTTTATAAGAACAACATAATGAAAACCGCAAACTATTATTACTATTAATATAATTAATATTATTACTATTAGTATGATACTATTACTTTTATTATTTCTAATTTTTTCAATGAAAGGTGAAAGTTTTATCTATTTGGGAGAAGGTTAACACTTCTTAAAGTTGTTCTTGGTAGTTTAGGAACTTATTTTCTTTCTATTTTTCAAGCACCTTTATTATTTATCAACCACCTTAAGTCGTTGCATGCCCGGTTTTTTGGGGAGGCAAAATTGGTAAACATAGGATGATTTAGGAAAAATAGGCTAAGATCATGTCGTCTAAAGAAGGAATATTGGGTGTGGGTAGTTTATATGCAACCAATAACGCACTTTTTTTAAATTGCAATGATGGCCCCCAAATGATCCACCGAGGTTATGGGCCAAGGTTACTTCATCAAGTCATGGGTCAAAGACGAGGTTTGACTCGAGAGGTTCTATATATATAAAAATCAAGGTGTTGGAAAAATCTTGTTTCCCATAAGAATCTTAATCAAAGAACAATGATTTTTTATCTTGAGAATTCGTACATTCTTTTTTAGTATTATGAATACTTCTCACTTTTGAGCAAAACTTTACTTTCTATCCTCACAAAAAACCTAACTTGATAAAATATGAACCGAGAAGGATACCATTCGAATTGAAGCCTTTTTTCATGTCTTTTCCAATGACTTGATAAGTTAACTTTACAGAGTAGTGATTGTGAAAAAGTTGTATTTCTCACATGATCTCATCAACAAAAGCAACCCACTTAATTTTCTGAATCCATTACAATCTAACAACTATATTGTTTATAAAAATCGACAGTCTGGATTTACTTTTAGAAAGAATTTTTTTTGCATAAATATATCTCTACATACCCTTTATGTAAATCACCTAATTGTATTGTACAAGATAATCGATGATTAATAGAAGCATGAACCTCAAAAATATTATTCCTTCAACTAGGAAAAAGTCCAAAAGAGTGCAAAAAAAATGCCAAAAAAAGCAATTAAAAACCCCAAATGTTGGGTTTTTTATGAGACTGAATTTGGAAGCAATTGATCCTATTTTGAGTGGTGTCATATCATTGATAGCAAATCTTGCTTAATATTCAAAACATGAATAATTGCAACCTAAAAACAGTACGTCACAACTATTTATCACATTAGGCCAATCAATCACCAATAAAATAAACAAAAGAGATAACATTGAATAATAATAATAACAAATACATGATGACAATAAAAGAAACCTCTAAAATGTTCCAAGAATATATATCTCTCTTTTTTTATTGATATAAATATAAACTATAATAGTATATCATTGCGTATAAACATAATAACGAATTTCTAATATACTATAAAACAAAAACAATAAATATTGTATTGAAGTATGTAACCATGTTCTAAAAATGTGTACTATGAAGACGACAGGTTCCCACTGCTTTGAAAATGTTGATGTATCATCCATGAATATGAAAATCTGAATCCTTAAATCTCACCTGTCAGATTTAGGTAGGCAAAAAATATCATTAGATTAATTGAACAAACAAAAAGCAAGTGTCTTAATCTAATCGACATATTTGAATTCTTTTAATCCATAATTTGATACATAAATTAGTGGAATTATGACCCGTCTAATTTGGCTGCATTGCATATATACTAAATTTCAACATAGCAAACCTAATCTGGACCCTCAATGTTAGGAAATGCAAAACCAATTGCAGACTGCCACGTGGCATTCCATTTTTTCACAAAATATAAATATTAATCTATTTTGTTCATTACCTTTGGAAGATCTCAAAAGAGCACAAAAAAGAATTTTCAAGTGTTGGTCAAAGTGTAAGAAAGAACAAGCCAAGATGTATTAAAGTTGGATTCTTTAAACTTTTTTAATGTAAAGATATCCAACTTGTATAAAAGGTAGCATACTATTATTATTTTATTATTGTTATTATATAATAACCTTGAGTTTGTAGAAGAAAAAGAGAAAAGGACATCAAGATATATCCTTTTCAGATATTAAATTAAAAAAAAAAAAAAAAAAAAAAGACAGTGAGGATACAGTGTGGACAAGAAATACAAGGCAAGAACCATGAGCTTTAAACTTTGTAATTATTTTTTAATAAAAAGAGGCTACCAGAATGGTTGGATTAGAGAAGGGTGGCTTTTTCATATTTGATTAAACAGAATTTGGACTTTTGTATACTATAAGACAAGAAGAATTTAATTTGTAATAAGATTCTATATTCCATGATTGTTTGTGAAGATAAGATGGGGTGGACATTAGTGGCCATATTTTTAAAATTTTAATAATGTAGTAGCACAAGAAAATACACAAAATAGTGTTGTATTCACACAGTTGACATTAATTTCGGGTTCTGAATGGATAAATAATGTCTGTCTAGAGTAATACCGTATATAAACAAAGATTTTTTCGTTTTTTTGGACCAAATGAACAAACTAAATATGAAAAAAATGACCATTTTGCCATTATTTCTAGAAGTGATATTGAATAATAACTATTTTTTTGAAAATCGTAGTGTAGTTGATGGGGTCCTAGCCTAGAATGATTGTTGTGTTGGCTTTAGTTATTTAATGAATGGATGCATATTTTTCAAATTATAATCTATTATTTCTTGAAGATATATTTTTATTATGGCCATTATGAATTCAACTAATTGGTAGGTGAAGAATATCTGTAAATGTATAAAATGTATAAAAGATTAGAGTTCTTAAATTACCTCAAATTATCATCCTCTTGAGCCACGTTGCTTTGTATACTTGTCACCAAAATTATAATTTAACTATTCATCTCTCAATAAAATACACTAGGGATCCAATAAGCAAAACGAGATAACTCAAGATAGATAAACCCTGCAAGTATATAGTTTATATAAGCCAAAATCATTCAAAATTTTGAAAAAGTTGTCACCTTTAATGAAAAAAAAGATGTGATCTTACGTTTTTCATGGAAGATGAGTAGTCTATTCGTGGAAGGATATAACTTTTTACTCCAAGATTATAAACCAAACTCCCATCAGGATAATACAATCCGAAGTTCCTCTCTGATGTGGGCCCATCCTTCTGATTCTCATTGAAAAGGGCAAAAACGTAAATATCAATAGGCTGCGAAGGTCTTGCAGGAGTACTTTCCCCTTGTTGCATTCTTTGCATCAAATTTCTGTTATAAATTCCAGCGTTTTGAACAGTTGCTCCAGCTTCGTTTTCATCTCCCTTTGAAGGCCAACCAGTTTCAGAAATTTTAACTTCAATATCAGTATGACCTAATGCTTTTATCGCTGAATAAACAGCGTCAATTTGTGCGTATAACATATTATCGTATTTCAAATTCGTATGTGGATCAATTGATCCAGAATTCGGTTCAAAAAGAACGTATTCTAAAGGGACATTGTTTGGATCACCTTTGTATGCGAAATAAGGGTATGCGTTTATGAAAAAGGGGGAATCGACTTGAGCGTGAAAGTTTAGAATTGGTTGAATGTATTGAATTAGGTTTTCCTGAAATGTCCCTTGAGAAGGTGGGAAAGAAGTTGCTAAGATTTGAAGGGAATGAGCAGTGGTTATGTAAACTTGTTTGCTTAATCCGAGATTAACTAAAGCTCCATACATGGTTTTCATGGCTGGAAGGAGATATGATGCTAATTGAGTATCTTGTCCTCCGAGAACTTCATTGCCGACGTTGATACAGGTGATTTTGGTTTGTGAGAGGTATGGTTGTACGTTTTGTTGAATCCATGTTTGAGCTTGTTGAGGATCTCTCATTCTTTGAAGGTATTCGTTTCCTAAACCAATGATGAATTCGATGTTTGTTCCTGCAAATGCTTGTAACACTTGTGGATCGGCATCATAGACTTTTACTCTAGTAATGTTTAAAGATCTAAGAAGGGTTGATACTTGAGATGGAGGTGGAAGATTGTTGGCAATTCGTCCATAGTTGACTCCAACTCCAATGGTGAAGACACCGATAAATGATTCTGGGAAACATATAATTGGGTGAAATTGGGATCATTCAAACTCAAATTCAAGAAATTATAAAATTAATCACTAACTAGTTGAAATTCGGTAACTAGCAACAGAAAAAGACGAGAAAAAAGGAATCTTTTAAACAACCGATAGGATTGAAAACTTTATTTCGTTTTTAGTAATGATCCAGCATTAATGTATTGAAAGATTGAAACCGAAAATGAATTTCCATCTTTGCTTCTGCGCCATAACTCAATAAATCAATAAAATTAGCTAAAAAGCGAGAATTTTTCCAGGAAAGAAAACAAACCCCACATTCAATCAAAAACAGAGACCAAACACCCCCCAATTGTGAGTAATTACTTCAAATTTCAGGAACTACTGAAAAGGGATTCGAATTTTAAAGAGTTACCTGATAGAGTAAGAAGCAAAAGAAGTGTACGGAAGATAGCGGCCATTGAAATTGAATATTGTGAGGTTCTGCCGCTTCTTCGACGTGCTCCTCCGCCGGAAAAGCTCTGTGACTCCTAAAATGAAAGGAGAGACAGGGTTTTGGAGGCGAATGTGTGCATGTGTGCTTATAAAAAGAAGGATGAGGTCAGTAAAAACGATGCTTTGGCCTCTTTATAAAAAAAGTAATCCAGTGAGAACGTACCGCGTCGATTTTTTTACGACCGAACCAATGAGTAGGCGCCGCGTAAACACTATCCAAAACTTAGCAGGCTAAATAGCCTATTATTTACGGTATAACCGACCTAAAAATGCGTATTTACAGGAATACCCTTTTCAAGGAGAATTTGATTTTCAATTTGACTTTGTAGACATATCGGTTTGTTTGTTTGTTAAAAATGGCAATATGTAGAAAAGTCAAGAGCAGATCCATGAGGTTGCAGCATCAGTGGGACCTACAATGTCAACGTAGCCGCACATCACGAATAGATCCTAGAAGGTGTGAGAGAGAATAGCGAGAATGTTATGAGTTTAGCCTTGTGCATCACATGCCCTCCTTTGTACGATGTCAACCAAAATGGCAAGACCCTCAAACAATGTATAAGAAACACCAACACCGCTACTATGGTGCTTATAGTTATGGAAATTCCTTTTCCATTACAATGCAAGCGATATGGTGTCAGACGAGCTCATGAATTACATCGACACCATGAAAAATAATGTACAAAAGCAGGATGAAGGAAAACAATGAAACAACTACGTTTCATGTTGAGAAGCTAGTGTATATAGTGGTGTTTTTCACTAATCATGATACGCCACGTACACATTTCTCCACTTGAACATGGAGCTAGTGCAAGACCTGTATTTAAGACATCCATGTATTTAAGACATAAGGGTTTGCAAGAATGCAGATTTCTCGGTCCCCGTCATCTGATAACATGCTTTTGGCAAGTAAGTAGTATTGCTTCTTGGTCGCTTCTTTGGATGTAATTCTTTTCTTATACCTAGTAGTTGTAGATCGAGTCGTGCTTTTAAGTTGTCTTTTGTTTTCCACTGTTGTCCCAATACAGTGCCCAAAATATTTTCATGAACATTAGTTTCTACGTGCATGGGATCACGATTGTGACGCAAACAACAAATGTTTCCAATATGGCAACTTAAAGAAAATACTTTTTTTCCAAGGACCGACATAGTCGACAAGAAACTCCTTGTCATCTAATTATTGGAGAACCTCCTCACCAGAAATAGGACTTGGAGCTTCCCTGAACTCCTCTCTTCCAACAAAGGATCTAGTGTCTCTATGCCAATGATGGTCAGTTGGAAGCCATCTCCTATGACACATATAAGAATTTTTTTCCCATTGGTTAGCCATTTGGAATCGGTATCAAAACCACACACTAGACAAGCAAGTTTTCCCTTGGTACTCCACCCAGAGAGATTGGCATAACCAGGAAAGTCATATATTGTACAAAAAATTGATGCCTTCAACTGAAAATTTTCTTTCGTTGATGCATCAAATGTCTCAACTCCAACCTCCCACAACTCCTTCAATTCTTCTATTAATGGTTGCATGTAGAGGTCTATTTTGTTTTCGGGACTTCGAGGAACAGGTATAATTAAAGAAAGAATGAAATTAGGTTGTTTCATAACTAACCATGGCGGTAAGTTATAAGGAATAAGGATGGCAGGCCATATACTGTGTGTTGTGTTCATTGTCCTAAACGGATTGAAACCATCACTTGCAAGTGCTAAACGAACATTGCGAGGATTACTTGCAAATTCGGGAAACTTCCTATCAAAATCATTTCAAGCTAAAGCATGTGCAGGATGTCGTATTTTTCCATCGTCAACACGTACCAAATGATGCCACCACATAAGGCTAACTGTCTTTGATGACATGAACAATCTCTGAAGTCTAGGCTTTAACGGGAACCAATGTAATATTTTTGATTCCTTTTTCTTTGTTGGACCCATTTCATAATTTGAATTGTCTTTAGGAACTTGCCATCTAGAAGATCCACAAATAGAACAACTTTCATCTTTCTCTTTATCCGCCCAGAACAACATGCAATCATTAGGACATGAATGGATTTTTTGATATCCAAGCCCCGAACTTGTCAACATTTTTTTCACTTGTTGAGCTGTTTTTGGCAACACGTTTCCTTCAGGTAACAAATCTGTTAAAAACTCTAGCAACATAGAAAAATATTTGTTACTCCACCCATTAAGGCACTTCAGATGGTATAAATTCACAACACACGATAATTTGTTGTATTTTGAATTTGGATACACCTTTTCTTCAGCTTCCTTAAATATATCATTAAAAGTAATTCTTATGTTCTCCTTCTCTTGATCATTATTCACGTCATCCTCACTTGGTCCTACTTGGTTTTCACCAACAAGATCATTCAACAATCCATGCATCTCATGTTGAAAAGTCACTTCTTCCTTCATCGGCATCGTATTTGAAGATGTAGTGGTTGAGCCTTCCCCATGATATACCCATTTAGTGTACTATGGCCGAAAGCCCCAACATATAAGACGATCAACAATATCTCTTCTTGTTGAATAACACATATTCAAACAATGTGAACATGGGCATAATATCTTCGCATCAACACTTGATTTCTCAAATGTAAAATTCAAAAAAAATTGCACCCCATTTATGAAAGAGTCACTAGATCTAGGTGAAAGATACATCCAAGATCTATCCATAATTAATCCTAAAGGATAATAGCAAATGCATAGTTTAGTATCCTTATTTTCAAATAAAGCATTATATTAGTAAAAAAACCAATACTAACAATTGAGCAAAACAACTTACAAGAAAAATTGCATTTATTACCATATAAGAAATATCACATAAGATGTAACATCCATAAAAATTCATAAACTTTAAACTTTTCAAAACAACCCTTTTTCTAAGGAAATGTTTACAAAAACCAATGTTTCCAAAACATTATTTAAAAATAAGAATAACTTTCAATAAAGTTTTCAAAACATTCACATTATCAGAGTTTCCCATAAATCATAAGTCCAAAACGCGAGGATGTGTACGGTCACGCCTTCACCTTGACACAATCCACTGAAGTACCTGAAACCATAAACCAAAACTGTAAGCACGAACCTTAGTGAGTTCCCCCAAAGTACCAACACCCAAACAGATAACATATACAAATAACAACATGTATTGGGTCCACAACTAAAAGACTGGATTACCCCTTGAGCCCACAGTATGAGTATGGCTTGCCTATCAGGCCCACAACTCATATATGGCTTGCTCTTGAGACCACAACATAAGTCTGGCTTTCCCTTGGGCCCACAACTTATGTTTGGCTTGCTCCCTCAGTCCTTGGACTGGAATACCAATGAGTAGCCCTGAGTACGAGTCTGGCATACCACCCGGTCCTCAGCTCGTATCTGGAATGCCACTGAGCCCTCAGTATGAGTCTGGTTTGCCCTGCCCGACCCTCAGCTCATATCTGGAATGCTAATGAGTCCTCAGTATGAGTCTGGTATGCCCTCCCTGGCCCTCAGATCAAATTTGGCATTCTCCAGGGTTTGTTGGCTACAACACAAAGCAGTACAACCTCAACCCAACCCACACAATATGTTGACATATAACATATAATATTATATACAGATAAACAGACAGTATCACAGGTAGTCCTACAGATCTACCAGACTAGCAAACTAAGACCAGCATAACCAGACTAGCATGCATATCTATTCCATACTCAGCATACAACAACATCAAGTTATCAAACCAATGTTTCGGCCTTGGTGCCTTTGACCCGAAAGTACAGTGAGGAAAACTCACCTCGAATGCAGAACTTCACTGAAAGAAATCCCTAGTTGCTGCCCTGTGGGCTTCCCGAGCTATCATTACCAACAACACACCCAATTAGCAATTAGGTTCCATGCTATAATCCATAATCCTTACTTGGGGTAAAATGACCATTTTACCCTTGACCCAACATGAACACAAAACTGAGGCCCAAAACCAAAAGATCCACAAAAGCCTACTAATGGCCCAATTTTCCAAATTAGGCCCAACCCCTTATGGGTCTTATCCTAATCCAATAATTTTCTTAATTACACTTCTGATTACCTCAAGTACCCCTTGGGACAAACTTGTTCAAAGACATAAATCGAAAGTCAAAGTTGTAACGCCTGGTTCCTGGTATGTATTTTAATAAAGATTCATTCATTTTTGCAAAGGGACTCGATGAGTTGGAGGCCCCAAACTCGTCGAGTAGGAATGGGATTTTTGGACGCGGGACTTGAAGTCTACTCGACAAGTCGAGAAGCCTCGACTCAACAAGTAGGGCTGCCAGAGTGAAACCCTAATTTTCAGGGTTTGCAACCTATTTAAAGACCTTAACACCCCCCATTGTGGCCTCCCTCATCGCCTACCATAGTCCATTAAACCCTAATTGGTGATCTTGAGCTTTGTGAGTGTGTGTGAGTGAAAAAGGAGTGATTCCTTGGTGTTTTATTGAAGGAGTGGAATCTAGAAGTGCTTGGTTGAAGGAAGGAGCTTTGGATTTAGAAGAGGAACTTCATTTCCAGCTCATTTGAGGTATAAAGTCTATACCTTGTCTATTTGTTTACTAGATCTCTTCATGGGGTAGTTTAGGGCCATATGGAGCATAATATGGAACCATTCATGGATGCAAGCATGTTTTGGGGTAATAACTTCAGATCCATAGTCTTTGAGGGACTCTATGGCATAAAGGTGCCAACTTTATGGCCACGGGGTGCCAACTTTATGGCCATGGGAGTCTCATGTATCATATGAACCACTTTTTAGGGCTTTTTGAGCTAAATAACCCATACATGAATGTAAGATTTGTAACTTTACGTGTTATATCGACTCTAGGAAGCCAGATCTACGTTTTGGATGCATTAAGCCCGACTAAAATCGACTGGATAGATTTGGACTTTAGGGGAGTCGACTTGTCGTTCATACGACTCGGCGAGTTGGGTCATGGTCCCCCAACCTTTTCTGATACTGAGCAAACCCGTTGAGTGTAGAAGATGACTCAGCGAGTTGGACATGTTTATGGACTTGAATATCAGAGAACTCGACGAGTTCAAGGATGAACTCGGCGAGTTGAGAGTAAAATGTCCCAACTGATATGAAGAGAAACTCGACGAGTTCAAGGATGAACTCGGCGAGTTGCGAGTGAAATGCCCCGACTTTTATGAAGGGGAACTCGACGAGTTCATGAAATAACTCGACGAGTAGGATCGAGATTTCAGGGTTTTTATGGATCATGGAACTCGACGAGTTGATGGACCAACTCGACGAGTTGAGTCAACCAGGATGTTGACTTTGACCAGGATGTTGTATGTGGCCTTGAACATGGACCATGGTTGACCCTTAAAGGGGTTATGAGTATGAAAAGGTAATTAAAGGAGATTGTTATGTGTAGGAGTTTGATAGGAATTGATCCCAACACCGCAGACAGTTTAGCTACTTTACGACATTGAGGTGAGTTACCTTCCGGTAGAAGTGGGTCTTAGGCACCAATGCCGACCCACTAGTAGATTGATTATAGTAGAAATGATTGTCTTTATGATAATTGTCTGGTATGCCACTATCTGTTATGCTATTTGAGTTAGTATGCTATGATTTTATGTGATAGTGGTAGGAGGGGACTAGTCCCCGGACCCGGTTGAGGTATACCGGCAGGGTAGGTCGGGCACCCCGATATGCCTGACAGTATGATATGCTATGTTATTATGTGGTAGTGGAAGGGGTGAAATAGTCCTCGTAGCTGGTTGAAATAAACCGGAGGGTAGGTCGGACTCCCAGATATGCCTGGCAGGGTAGGTCGAGCACCCAGATATGCTTGACAAGGGGTAGGTCGGGCACCCCGGTATACCTGACAAGGGTAGGTTGAGCACCCAGATATACTCAGCAGGGTAGGTCGGGCACCCAGATATGTCTGGCAGTATGTTTATTGTATGGTATGTGGTATGATGGGGGAACTCACTAAGCTTTGTGCTTACAGTTTCAGTTTTTGGTTTCAGGTCCTTCTTCTTCGAAGTGAAAGGAGTTGGCACAGTAGCAGCGCATCACACACATGATTTCCGCATATGAGATTTTGGGGATTTGTACTATGACATTGTTACTATGTTCTGACATGATTTTGAGACTTATGATCTATGGCTTTTTATGAAATGAATTAACTTGATGATGTTTTCTATAAATTATTTTATAAATTGTTATATCAAAAATGAAATTTTTGGTCTGTATTTTTGGGATGTTACAAAAGTCAACGGTCGAAGTTGACCAACTCGCCGAGTTGTCCTTCAACTCGTCGAGTTTCTCCATCAATCTGCACATATCGAGAAAAACCAAGCCAACTCGCTGAGTTGACCAACTGTGACAACCCGAAACTTCTACCTGGTACATATAGTCAGTCAATCTAAGTTAAACTCGTTTCTGTTAACTCCTAGCACTGATTAAGGGCCCATTTAAGCGTTCTAAGCTTGAGTATAGCCAAGGTTGAGGTTAGGAATGATTCAGCAAGCCGTAGGGTGACAAAACCAGGCCATACACACCCTTAGGGGGAGTGTACAACCGTACACATGGGTGTGCGGCCGCACACTCACCTCTTGGCCGCACACTCACTTCTAGGCAGTACACCCACCCCTATATAAAGGGTAGACCCCTTTCCTTTCATTCCTTTAACACCTTGGCAGCACACAACACCATTTCTCTCAAGCTTCTTCAACCACAAACCCTCCCAAGGATTCAAAAACATGAGTAATCCATCCCTTAGCTTGTTGTGCTTGAAGAACCACCTAATCTAAGCCTTGAATCATTGAGTCCCGTCATGTTCTTCATATCTTTGAAGGAGTGCGGCCGCACACCCACATAAGGTGACCTCACACTCCTAAAAGACCCTCCAAAGTGAGAGTTGGACTTCCATCTTCGAGTTAGACATGACCATAGCCTTGCTGCACCTTAGAATTGGCGTTTTGGACACAAACATGTAGGGTGTACGACCGCACACACCCTTGTGCGGTAGCACACTCCTTGTGTGCGGCAGCACGCTCCCGTGTGCGACCACACACACACCCTAGGACCACAAACCCATTTCTAAGACCCTAAACTTGTACTACAACTAAGTATGGACCTAGAACACTTCATGGATGCAAGTATGGACATTGAAAACACCTCAAAGGCACCTTCCATCACGAGTGTACGGCCGCACACCCATGGCCGTACACACCTTTAAGGTGGCCATACACCTCCCTCATGCAATCCTTTAAGGTCCTAACACTTAGTGCAAGTAGTTCCAAGTCCCTAGAGTGGTTCTCTATCACATCTAGTGGTGAAATACCTTTATTTGACTCCTTTATGTGTCATTACGTGTTAATTAGGATCAAATCATGTTCAAGGCTTCACTTGAACATCCGGCATTCCGTATCGATCCTTCATTTGA